CAGACTTAATCGCTAAAGACCTCCAAACTTTGTGTGGCCTTCAGATTAGCACAACAGTGCGTAGAGAGCTTCATGGAATGGGTTTCCATGGCCGAGCAGCTGCATCCAAGCCTTACATCACCGAGTGCAATGCAAAGCATCGGATGTAGTGGTGTAAAGCATGCCGCCACTGGACTCTAAAGCAGTGGAAACGTGTTCTCTAGAGTGATGAATTACGCTTCTCTGTCTGACAATCTGATGGATGTGTCTGGGTTTGGTGGTTGCCAGGAGAAAGGTACTTGCCTGACTGCATTGTGTAAAGTTTGGTGGAGGGGGGATTATGGTGTGGGGTTGTTTTTCAGGGGTTGGGCTTGGCCCCTTCATACCAGTGAAGGGAACTCCTAAGGCTTCAGCATACCAAGACATTTTGGACAATTTCATGCTCCCAACTTTGTGGGAACAGTTTGGGGTGCACAAAGCAAGGTCCATAAAGACATGGATGAGCAAGTTTGGGGTGGAGGAACTTGACTGGCCTGCACAGAGTCCTGACCTCAACCCCATAGAAAACCTTTGGGATGAATTAGAGCGGATACTGTGAGCCAGACCTTCTCGTCCGACATCAGTGCCTGACCTCACAAATGTACTTCTGGAATAATGGTCAAACATTCCCATAGACACACTCCTAAACCTTGTGGACATCCTTCCCGGAAGAGTTGAAGCTGTTATAGCTGCAAAGGGCGGGCCAACTCAATATTGAACCCTACGGACTAAGACTGGGATGCCATTAGAATATACGTGTGTGTAAAGTCCCAATACTTTTGGCAATATAGTGTAAGTCTATGCACCATACTGCAGTTCAGTGACACGTGGTGCTTTGTGTTGCGTAAAAATGCAGACAAGCAGAGCATCTCAGCTCATCCTTATGATGTGAACAGGGCACATATATTTAAATGCCCCCCCCCCCCGATCTGCTCATAACTAAACTCGGTTGCATTGTGTGACTGACCCAAATAAACCAGATGGCTTCCCTGTCCATATTTGCCTACAGATGACTAAGCACATTACAATATGATTGTACAATCTGTATTTGCTCCAAAGTGAAATACTTGGTCTTTCTAGAGTGTGGGTATAAGTGGGAGATGGGAAAATAACAGTAACCCTATTGCTATGTTCTGAAAAATCTCGAATTTGATGAAAAGTACTTGTAATGCCCATGACAATGAACACATGACCGTAGTATTATATCTTGAAAAGTTGACTAGTGAGGTGCTTCTCAAATGCAGGGCCGCAGCCTCCCTCCTGCTAGGCTGTATTTTTTGGTCTGCTCCAGAGCCTGCAGCCAGGATAGCCCCCAAGCACCGTACAGCAGTTCAGTGCAGGTGCTCCCTGAACCAAAACCTCTCCCTCCTCACCCAGTGTGAGCCCAGTGCTTTCGGTGTGCATTTTGTGGCGTTCTAGGAATCAGGGCTAAGTGTTGTACTGTCAGTAGGCACTAGGTCTCTAACACAGAGACCTGCTTGGAAGTCACATGACTGGAGCGATCGTACAGAGACCAGGGAATTCGACATCAGCATGTGTGATTGGAGGAGATCTCCATATAACTAGTGCTAGTAGTTGATCTGCAGCTGGACAGATGTTGCCTGCTATGTATGTCTATGGATCTACCTTGCAGTCATATAATGATTAGGTAGAACAAAGACATACGTAGAAGGTATATAACTTATACCGTATTATTATGCAATAATAGTATGAGGACATATTGTGTTCCCATAATTTTATTGTATGCATGTAAACTTTTTTTTCTTTTCTTTTTTTTTTTTTTTTTTTTTTTTTTTGAGGCTGGATTCACATTTTGCGCTGTGAGAACACATGTAACACTTGTTGCTGTGTTGCAGTACCATTCATTTTGAATGGCACCCCAACGCACCTGCATTGTAGTGCTTTGTAATGTATGGTAGCAGTCATGCATTGCTTTATAAAAAGAGTCTTGTATGACATTAGGCATGTTTGGGTGCGCTGTAAGCAGATTCGTTTTGAATAGTCTGCTTTAACAAGGTGCACATTAACGTACCATAAAAAAGTAAAGGGGCCCTTACGGTTAGGGCATGAAAGGGTTTGGAGGATAATTACCACCCTGGTCTCTCAAGGTTGAATACCGCTCCTCTAGTCAACTTGTTTAAAGCTAAAAATATTGAATTTCATGTTACTGTAGTAACCAGATCATCACCTTCCAGGAAACATTTGCAAGTACTGATCACTCTATTCTACGATGTAAATCATTTACTGACCTTGTTTTATTATATTTTGATACAAAAGCACCATATGTTACAGGACTATAGTTCACAATATTGCAGTGTGTCGTGGGAGAATATACTCTGATCTTGTGTTTTTTTGTTTTTTTTTTGTTTTTTACTTTAAAAAAATGTTTATTCAGTTTTTGTAGAAAAGATAACATACAGTCAGCCATATAATACAGTAGATACATTGCCAGGTACAAAAAAGTAACAGATAAGAATGTAATTACCCCCAACCTTAACCACTTGCCCGCCGCCTTATAGCAGATGTACTGCTACAGGGCGGCATGGCTTTGTAAAAATTACATGTATGTATATATGCATGATTTGCATTTCCGGGTAGGGGGTGTGCTTTTAATTGGCAATGATCACTGTATTCGTGTCACTGGGGTTGTCCGTGGCAGTCAGTTCCCACCCAGTGTCAGAATGCCCGCCGCAGTCCCGCTATAAGTTGCTGATCGCTGCCATTACTAGAATATACTACTTAAGTTAAATAAATTCCAGTATATATACCACCATTTGTAGACTCTCTAACTTTTACGTAAACTAATTAATATACACTTATTTTTTTTTTAACAAAGACGTGTAGCAAAATACATTTTGGCCTAAATTTATGAAGAAATTTTATTTTTATTTTTTAACTTTTTTTTTTTTGTTATTGGATATGTTTTATAGCAAAAAGTAAAAAATAATGGTTTTTTTTTTTGTTTTTTTCAAAGATGACGGTATTTTTTCGTTTATAGTGCAAAAAATAAAAACCGCAGAGGTAATCAATTACCACCGAAAGAGAGCTCTATTTGTGGGGGAAAAATTACCGTACATAAATTTCATTTATGTACAGTGTTGTATGACCGTGCAATTGTCAGTCAAAATAATGCAGTGCCATATCGCAGAAAATGGCCTGGTCAGGAAGGGGGGTAAATCCTCTGAAGGGCAAGTGGTTAAGATACATTAAATGAAAAATAATAAATACATCAATCGACAGATGGTGGGAACATACAAAGGATTATCAAGGGCAAAGCCCAGAATCTAGGCTTAAAGGATAAGTTCACCTTTGGAACATGTTACATGTTCCACCCGTTAACAATACCCCCGCCCCCCACACACACTCTGCCCCTTTACCTATAGTATCCTGTTTATTACTTTGTGAACACTGATACATATACAAAATATAAGGAAAATATGTTGTAGGTACTGTACATTTTCTAAGCAAGTGTGGTTATGCATACTGAGCATTGCTTAAAGAGGAACTTAAGTCTGGAAGCTGAGACCTCCCTGCAGCTTATCTTTTCACATCACTGTCCTACCATGCCTTGTTCTGCACTCTGTGTGAAAGTGGCCATCTTGGTAGAGGCAGTGTTTTCCTTTCGCACGTCAGAGTCTCCAGCTATGAAAACAGTGAGCAGCACCGATGTGACATCACCAAAACTCCTAAATCTCCTGGGCCTAGCAGTCAGAGGCAGAAGTGTTGTAGATCTCACACTGCTGATATACAGCTATAAAGCTGTAGGTTCAGTAGTGCCTAGGCACACTCACATACCAGGAAGTGCACTGCTATTTTAGGAGGACTACACATACATTTTAGAGAGAAACTATTTTATGATTTTTATGGCGCAATAAAAAATATAATTTTATTATTTTAATCTCAACTTGCTTGACAAGAGGAAGAGATGTCTGAAAAACAAGACAGTCTGCTTTCTGGATGAAATCTCTCGTTGAGCAAACTATAAAGCAATCCAAATGAGGAAATGGTAAAATGTCAGCTTCTTGGGGCTTAACCAGTTCCCGCCGGACACAGCAGATACGGGCTACTGGTACCCAGCGGCTTTGAGTGGCCAGGGGATCGGGTGATCGTTATGCGAATGTCAACAAAGCTGTTATGAATACATTTTATTCATAATAGCTCTAACTTCCGTAGTGATGCTGTGTTTGGCCTACAGCTATCACATGGTACCTGGCTAATCACAGCACCTTGTATTATGTGATAGCTGTTGGCCAATCACAACACACAATAATCACACATATGCCCCATTCGTGATAGTTGAAAACATTGCTGTTACCTTGATCATCACTGTAACCGCAATCAAAGTGTAAAAAATAAATACCTGATCAGCCCCCCAGAGTAGTACAGTGTCACTAAGGTGAACCTAAACTACTCTGTTAAAAGGAAAAAAAAAGTTATGGATTTGTTTTGGTTTTCTTTAACCGCTTCCCGTCCGCCCTACAGCAGATATACTGCTACAGGGCATCACAGGTGCACAAAATCACGTGTGTGTATATATATATATACGTGTGTGTGTGTGTGTGTGTGTGTGTGTGTGTGTGTGTGTGTGTGTGTGTGTGTGTGTGTGTGTGTGTGTGTATATATATATATATATATATATATATATATATATATATATATATATATATATATATATATATATACATGATTTTGCATGTCTGGGTAGGGGACGCGTACACGCACCCTAACCCGCGCTGCCATTCACATCGCAGCTGTCCAGTCACCAGGTGATTACTCAGCCAGTGCCCGGTGATTGCCAAGGATCTCAGATGGGGGGGTGGAGAACTGTTAGTAAACAAAGCGGTTCTCCCTGTCAGCTTGTGCACACTGCTTTGAATGGACAGTGAAGCACACAGACACAGCCTCATAGTAAAACACATCAAGTACACAGATAACCCTTTGATCGCCCCAGATGTTAACCCCATCCTGCCCAGTGTCATTAGTTTGCTTTTTATTAGCACTGATCACTGTATTGGTGTCACTGGGGATGTCAGTGACACCAAGTCAGTTCCCCCCAGTGCCAGAATGCCTGTCGCAGTCCCGCTATAAGTCGCTGTATACCACCATTTGTAAATGCTATAACTTTCACGTAAACCAATTAATTTACACATATTGGGATTTTTTTAAGCAAAGCAGAATACATTTTGGCCTAAATTTATGACTAATTTTTTTTTTTTTTTTACATTTTTTACTGGACATGTTTAATAGCAAAAAGTCAAAAAATATATAGTTTTTTGGGGTTTTTTTTTTTTCAAAATTGCCGGTCTTTTTTTTTTTTTCAGTGCAAAAAATAAAAAGTTCACAGTCGATCAAATATTACTGAAAGAAAGCTCAATTTGTGGGGAAAAAAAAGACGTAAATGTAATTTTGGTGCAGCGTTGCATGACTGTGCAATTGTCAGTTAAAGTAACGCAGCGCCGTAACTCAAAAAATGGCCTGGTCAGGAAGGGGGGTAAATCCTCTAGAGGGCAAGTGGTTAAACATTGTCATCAGTCAGTATCCCTGATCACCGCTACAGCAGATATATGATGAAGCTGTACTACACGAATGACAGTATGTAGAAAAAAAAATATTTTTTCATGTTCCAAAAAATTATGACAAAAAAATTACAACTTCAAAACAATTGCCATGCCTGTTATTAAATACCTCAGACTATCTACTTTCCAAAAAGGGGTCACTTGGGGGATATATTTGTACTGTCCTGGCATGTTAGGGCCTCAAGAAATGAAAAGGGCAGTCAGTTCTTCAGGATTGATCAATTTTCAAATATACTGTATATACCATAGTTTGTAGACTCTAGAACTTTCACACAAACCAATTAATATACACTTAATGGGATTTTTTTTTTTACCAAAGACAAGTAGCAGAATACATTTTGGCCTAAATTTATCAGGAAATGTGATTTTTTATTGGATATGTTTATATATATATATATATATATATATATATATATATATATATATATATCAAAAAATATAAATACAGTGGTGATCAGATACCACCAAAAGTAAGCTCTATATGGGTGAAATTTTTTTTATAAATGTCATCTGGGTAGTGTTGCATGACTAATTAAGGTAGTGCAGAGCTGAATAGCAAAAAATGGCCTGTTCTTGAAGGGGGGTAAAACCTTCTGGAGCTCAAGAAGTACCATAGAACTTCAGTTTTATTATATGATTGATGTATGAATTGATCAAAATGATCGAATCAGAGACCATACTTTAATAGCTATACCTACATTCATTCTATTTACACTTTGTTTAAATCAGATTTAATCAGAGTCAATCTGCCAGGTTGAAAATTGATTTTGCATCAGTCAGTAGCGCTGAGTTTTTTTTGGTCATAAATTTGATCAGATTATGAGGTTGCCTGGAGGAAACGGATACCATATGTACAGTGCCTTGAAAAAGTATTCCTACCCCTTGAAATTTTCCACATTTTGTCATGTTACAGCCAAAAACGTAAATATATTTTATTGGGACTTTATGTTATAGCCCAACACAAAGTGGCACATAATTGTGAAGTGGAAGGAAAATGATAAATGGTTTTATAAAGTTTTTACAAATAAATATCTGAAAAGTGTGGCGTGCATTTGTATCCAGCCCCCTTTTACTCTGATACCCCTAACTAAAAGCTAGTGGAACCAATTGCCTTCAGAAGTCACCTAATTAGTAAATAGAGTCCACCTGTGTGTAATTTAATCTCAGTATAAATACAGCTGTTCTGTTCAGCTCTCAGAGGTTTGTTGGTGTTCATGATGTTGTTTGTTCACTAATGTTCTCTAAGGAACACACCAGATAGGTTAGGGATAGTTTTGGAGAAGTTTAAAGCAGGGTCAGGTTATAAAAAAAAAAAATATCCCAAACTTTGAACTGAGATGTTCAATCCATCATCCGTAAATGGAAAGAATATGGCACAACTGCGAACCTACCAAGACATGACCATCCACCTAAACTGACAGGCCAGGCAAGGAGAGCATTAATTAGAGCAGCAGCCAAGAGGCCCATGGTAACTCTGGAAGGGCTGCAGAGATCCACAGCTCAGGTGAGATAATCTGTCCACAGGACAACTATTAGTCGTACACTCCACAAATCTGGCCTTTATGGAAGAGTGACAGAAGAAAGCCATTGTTGAAAGAGAGCCATAAGAAGTCCTGTTTGCAGTTTGCGAGAAGCCATGTGGGGGACATAGCAAACATGTGGAAGAAGGTGCTCTGGTCAGATGAGACCAAAATAAACTTTTTGGCCTAAAAGCAAAATGCTATGTGTGGTGGAAAACTAACACTACACATCACCCTGAACACACCATCCCCACCGTGAAACATGGTGGTGGCAGCATTATGTTGTGGGGATGCTTTTCTTCAGCAGGGACAGGGAAGCTGGTCAGAGTTGATGGGAAGATGGATGGAGCCAAATACAGGGCAATCGTAGAAGAAGAAAACCTGTTAGAGTCTGCAGTAGACTTGAGAATGGGGCAGAAGTTCACCTTCCAGCAGGACAACGACCCGAGACATACAGCCAGAGCTACAATGGACTGGTTTAGATCAAAGCATAGTGTTAGAATGGCCCAGTCAAAGTCCAGACCAACTGAGAATCTGTGGCAAGACTTGAAAATTGCTGCTCACAGACGTTCTCCATCCAATCTGACAGAGCTTGAGCTATTTTGCAAAGAAGAATGTGCAGAAAATGTCCCTCTCTCTAGATGTGCAATGCTGGTAGAGATATACCCAAAAAGACTTGCAGCTGTAATTGCAGTGAAAGGGGGTTCTACAAAGTACTGACTCCGGGGGGCTGAATATAAATGCATGCCACACTTTTCAGATATTTGTAAAACATGTTGAAAACTATCATTTTTCCTTCCCCTTCACAATTATGTGCCACTTTGTGTTGCTCTATTACATAAAATCCCAATAAAATACAATTACATTTTTGGTTGTAACATAACAAAATGTGGAAAATTTCAAGGTCGTTGGTGATAGAACGATTATTTCTATTAGAGATTGATCAGAAAAGATATTGATAATTTATCAAAGCAGATATTTTTTAGAGACATGCTAACCAATCAAAATTTACAATTTGTTTTATCTGCTAATACACACACTCAGGTTGAACGGGATGGACTGGTGTTTATTTAACCTTAATACCTACAGTATGTAACTCAGCAACCCAGCTTGCAGTGTCATTTTGGGAGGCAGTCATGCTTGGTTCTTTGTAGCAGAATGGTCCTGTACTGCGGAAACATCCATACTTTTTCCAGGTTAGTGAATCAGAATTTGTTGAATTACAAGGGCAGTCAGACAAATAGCATTTTCATGAGGAGAGGACAGCAACATATCTGTTAATATAGGTTTCCTTTGCTGAGAAAGGGTTACTCTTTCACATAACTCGCCTTTCCTTGTGCCTGTGCTGCCCCAATCAGAGGCTGGGAGTGAAGTGAAATACTCGACACTTCTGGCAGTGGGTGAGCATGTGACTTTTGCATTCAGTGTCATGTGATAGCTCTAGGTGCATCATGATTGGACTGGTGATGTTACATGGGGGCAAGTTGCTTTGGAGCTTACAAAACACTTTCTTTGTCCAGTTCCAGCAGTTAAAGCAGCACAGCAAAAGAGGAGTAAGGGCTCGTTCACACTAGGCTGTTTTGCCAACGCTTGCCAAACGCCCCTATAGCGTTTGGCAAGCGTTGGTCCGGCGTTTGCAGAGCGTTATTAACGCTCGGCAAACGCTCCGCAAACGCCGCATGCGCGGTTTAGCGGCGGTTGCTAGGCGTTTGCCGAGCGTTAATAACGCCCCACAAACGCCTATAATGCAGTTTGAGTGGTGTTACCGCTCCGCAAACGCCCCGCAACCACGTCGCAACTGCACCGCAAACGCCAGCCGGGCGTTTGCGGAGCGGCACCATAGACAAGAATAGGAGGCTTCAAAGCCTCCTGACTCGTCCAGAGGCGTCCGTTTTGACGCGACGCGACGCAAACGCTCCCGTTAGAACAGCACCATGTGCTGTAATGTGCAGAATTGGCAGAGGCGTTTGGGAAGCGGTAAAAACGCTTACCAAACGCCTCTCTGCCGCCTGCACACAAGGCTAGTGTGAACGTAGCCTATGTGTTGCTGTAACTTTGCTGATCTGTGTACTTGTATTGTAGCTAGTCGGTTAGTTTTAACAGCCCGTTAATTAGCATGGGAGCATTGAGAGAACATTCATGACAGGTTTGATCTAAACATAAATAGGACTAATTTCCTACCGCCATCATCTAAGATGCCTTTTTTACATTTACCCCATAATGGCTCTGGTCCCTGTGCTATTTGCCCCTGTGATCTGAGCGTTTTAATATTGGGCAGATATGGCAGAGGTAGAGAATCTGTAAGCACAGATCCCACTGGTTCATATAGGACAAGGCTGGAGAGAGCCCAGAGCTGCCGTCAAAAAAATGTTAGGCAGACCATACGCTATACAATCTGATTGTGCACTCCTTTAGATCTACCAGTAATTATGTAGTACACATGGAATAGATTGCTTAGGGTTGTCTTCATATAATTTTGGTAACCTTTACCAAAATTATAAGAAACTAAACCTCAAACTAAACATTCTCAATCACCCATAACTATATTAAAGTGGTTCTAAAGGTAGGTGTTTTTTTTTTTTTCTTTAAAGTGCATTCCTTGCATTAAGGTAAAAAAAAAATGTTTAGTATAAAGTATTGCCCAGTCTCGATCCATCGTTGTGTGTGAGAGCAATGGCTCTCTCCTCTTCTCTTAGCTCTCACAGGCTTTGCTGAGAGCAGTAGGAGTCATTGGTTCCCACTGCTGTCGGTCAAATCCTGTGACAAGGCAGCGGGGGCGGGACCTATGTCTATGGACACATAGAGACGCATACAATCGACTTGCTATGGGGGCACTCTGCGATTGGTAGAAGCCAGAAATGCTGGCAGGGGACCTGAGAAGAGGATTGGGGCTGCTGTGTGCAGAACTGAGTGGGAAGCGTTTTTAATGCTTCTCAAACGCCTATGAAAATTCTGCACATGGCAGCACACAGTGCTGTTCACACTGAAGCGTTAGCGCT